CATCATTTGGTCTTCTATACCGCTGATTCTCTCTTCTGCCTCATTTATCCTAGCAGTTAGTGCCCCCATTTTTTATTGCACTTCATTAATAGCCTTTTTGATTTCGATTTGGTTAGATTTTAGTTCTTTTATTTCTCCAGGATGCGTTTCTCTAATAACTTCCATGCTTTTTTCAAGCCCAGCTAGTATCTTTAAAGTCATGATTCTGAACTCTAGGTCCGACATTGTACTAATGTCCGTATTGAGTACGTCCCTGGCTGACGGTACTACCTCTTGTTCTTTTTGCTGAGGTGATTTTTTTCTTCTTGTCATTTTGTCCAGAGGAGAATAGATGAATGAGAGAACAGAATGCTAACAGGTTAACAACGTCCCCAGCAAATATACTGTATACAAATCAGAAAAGACCTGAAACCAGGGGAAAAGAAAGGGAAGGAAAGAAAAAAGAAAAAGAGAGAAAAAAAGAAAAAGATAAAGATAAAAACAAAGAAAAACAGAACAAAACAAAAACAGAATATGATCAAATATGATCAGGCTGGTACATAGATCAGTGCCACACACTAGATTTTGGGTGTATTTTGGCCTGTTAGAAGAAAGTGCCTCCTAATTTTAAAGGAAGAAAGACATATATGTACAAAATAAGGGTTGATACAATGAAGGGATGGAAGATGACTGTAAAGATGAAAATCATAAAAGATTTTATAAAGAATTGTTAAGATAAGAAGTTGTTTGAAAAAAGAAAGAGGATTTAAAAAAAAGAAAAAAAAAGGGAGAGAATTTGATCAGGTAGGAGACTAGAACAAAGCCATACACTAGTGATTTAGGGTATATTTTGATCTGTTAGAAGAAAGTGTATCTCAAAATTTTAAAGAGAGAACAACTTATATATATATGCCAAAAATAAGGGTATGTACTATGAAGGGATAGAATATGACTCTAAAAATGAAAAATAAAAATGTTTTTTTTTCCAAAAAGGGATTGATAAGATGTTGGTTGAAAAAGGGAAAAAGAAAAATTAAAAAAAAAAACAGTTAAAAAATTAACTTTGAAAAACTAATGAATCTTGGTAAAAATGCCATGAATTCTATGTGCAGTATTCCCCTAGCGCTGGAGTTCTCCTGTTCTCCTCAATCGGTAAACTTGGTCTTGGCTTGCTGGCTGTTTGCGCTGATCTTCTGGGGGAGGGGCCTGTTGCCGTGGTTCCCAAATGTCTTTGCCGGAGGCGGGATTGCCCCGCCCTTTCCCAGTCCAGGCTAAGCAATCTGCTCGGGTTTGCTCTCAGGAGCTTTTGTTCCCTGCAAGATTTCGGCACAGCTTTGGAGGACCAGGGTGAAAATGGTGGCCTCCCAATCTCCACCCGGAGGAGCCGATTACTCCGGGCCCCGCTCCTCAGTGCGCCCCCAGAGAAAAGCAGTCACTCCCGTGTCCCCGGTCTCCGGCCGCACTCCGTGCTCACCCGGCCTGTGACCGAGCGTTTCTGTCTCTGGCACCCGACCCCGTGTGGAGTCTCCAAACCCAGCAGATCCCTCCGGTGCGCTCCCGCGCCGCTCCTCCCCGGGGAGGAAGGGGAGTCTCCCCGGATCTGCTGCTTGTTGGGTCCCTGCTGGAGGAGCAGTGGCCCGACTGGGCCGCAGATCCCAGTTTATGGCCACCCCGAGCTGAGAGCCCACGCCTCGGCTCCGTCTCTGCAGCCGGCTTCCCCGCTCCGATCCCTGGGAGCTCTGCCGCACTCAGGAACCCCCGGTCTTTCTGTGACCCCGAGGGTCCTGAGACCCCACTGTCCCGCGAGGGTTCCATCCCCCGCTTAGCCACTGCAGCGACGTCCCTCAGCGGATCCGGCTTCTAAAAGGTCCGATTTTGTGCTCCGCGGCTCTAGCACTTGCCAGAAGCGGCCGACGGAGGCCCCCTCCCCCGCCGTCTATCCTCCCGAATATTGCCTCGGATTCATTTCTCCACACGTCCTACCTTCCAGTGAGTGGTCGCTTCTCTGTTCAGAGAGTTGTTGCTACTCTCCTGTTCGATCTCCTGTTGAGTTCGTAGGTGTTCAGAATGGTTTGATCCCCATTCAGCTGAATTCCTGAGACCAGACGAAATCCAGGTCTCCTACTCCTCCCCCATCTTGCTCTGCCCCCAGTCAAGTTTTTAATGTTTATTCTGAGACGGTGTAAGGACTTACGGATTGTTTGCTGCAGGCTTTCCCCGGTGCTGCAAGCCAAATCGAACAGTTTTATTGAAAAGAATGATAAAATGCAAATAGAGTAATACCTAATTTTTCTCTCATTTTTAAGCAATGCTGTTTTGCAAAAGTGATTTTCCATACATGTGATGCCTCTGAAGATAAAGCACAATTTCTTCATTTTGAAAATCCTGTCTCCTGATGAAATTAGCCATAGTTTTGCACACAGTAAATCTCTTTGCTGTGCTGTTTTCTGTTTTCGGAGAGGATTGAGGTCCCAGCCCCTTTGCAAAGTGGCTCCTGCTGCTGCCTTCTGGGTTCTCCTGGGAACTCTGTGTGGTTTGTCCTGCCCTCTCTCATGGTGGGACTCGGAGTGCCTCCTGCGGCTGTCAGCATCTTGCTCCTGACTCACTCACAGGCGGGAGGCAGAGGGATGCTCGCTGGAAACGCACCAACGGGCTCCGAGGGGGAGATTAAGACTCCCATGGACAGGTCAGGGAAGCGCTGCTTCTGGCATTTTGGATCTCAGGTCAGGGAGAGGCTGCTTCCAGCATTAGGGATCTCAGGTCAGGGAGTATGTTCTTTTGGGAGTCTGTCTTCCACTTACTGTGATCCATGTGGGATTTGTGGGGTGACCCGGCCTATGTGGGATTTGTGGGGTGACCCTGTCCATGTGGAATTTGTGGGGTGACCCGGAGGCTGGCGGCCTGGGCGGTGAAAGAATTCACTGGAGGCAGAACAAAGGAGACAGAAGTTTATTGAATATGCTGCAAGGTAGCAGCGGGTGGGCAGCAAAGGGGAGACTGTCTGCCACGAGGAGGTTGGGGGGTGCTGTAGTTAAGGGGGGAAGGTTAGGAAGTATGGGAATGTATGGAATTTTCCTTTTTTGGTACCTGTGCCTGGTTGTAAGTGGCCACTGGTCAGCGAGGGCCTGTGGGTATTTCGAGGTGGGTCTCCGATGAGTCTGCGCTCAGCCTGGCGGTGGCGTGGGCCCTTCTGCCTCACGCGGGTTCCTTCTACTCCGGTCTGCTGCCTGAAAGCAGCCTCGGGGGGATTCTTCTGTCTTGTAGGGACCGGCCAGTTGTCCCTTTCACTTGCTGGGCAGTGGTCAGCATTACAGATGGAATACTGCATGTTTATCCATTCCCCAGTTGAAGGACTTTGGGTTTTGCCCAATTTTTTGCAATTTTGAAAAGAGCTGCTCTGGACATTTATGCACCGATTGGGTAAATACCCAGGAGTGAGATTGCTGGGTTTTGTGGTAAAAACATATTTAACTTTGGGACATAAAGAACTGGCCAACTTTCCCGCAGCAGCTGTCCCATTTGCCCTCCTGCGAGAAACCCTCCTTGTTCATGATGTATTATCTTTCTTTACACAGAGTCAGATTTAATGTGTTAGTATCTGTGAAGGATCCCAGTGTCTGTTTTCATGAGGGCTGTTAGTCTGCCGTTTTCTTGCGATGCCTTTGTTTGGTTTGACATCAGAGTGAGGCGGGCCCCAGAAAGGGTCCCCCAGTGGTGTTTTCTCATGATCATGCTGGGGTTTTGGAAGAATGTTGCAGAGGTGAAGTGCCCTTCTTGTATCATATTGGAGGACATCCATGTGGCATCCCCAGTAATAGCAACCTTCATTTTTGGGTGACGTGGTGTTATCAGGTTCTCCTCTGTAAACTTACTATTCATGCCTTTCCTACTCTGTGTGTTGGAAGCGAGTTGCTAAGTCTCACCTCCAAAGGAAATAAAGTGTGAATTCACCACCACCTCATAGGGAATATGTGCTTCTTATCTCCAATTTAGTTATTTATTCAATCATTTATTCACATCATTATGGACTTCTGTATATTTATTTTCTACTTTGGGTTCTAATCCAGTATTACATTATTTGTTGTTCTAATTTTTCCAGTTTTGGCCACTGTATTTTTTTCAGCCTGGCTCCTGGATCCTTTGATGTGTTTTGTTATTTTAAGAACTTCCTTTCTTCTCTTACCACGAGTTGGCCCACAGGCCCCTCTGTTTTCTCTGCCCTGGCCATGGAATCAGCCATTCATCCAGGGAGCCCTAGCTGTGTGCCCCCAGGCTTGTTGCGCTCACTCTGATCTGATCTGTGATCTGCGTCTGAAATCTTCCTACCCCTTGTCTTCTCCCACACTCCACCCTAGGGCAGCTGGTGCTCAGGGCACTGTCTCTCCTTGGCAGAGTCTGTCTGCTGGATTCTAGGCTAGTAGGTTTCCCTGTGGTCTCCACTCTCTGATGAGTTCAAGAAAATTGTAATTTCATAGATTTTTTTCACTTTTTCTTGCTGTTAGGATAGGAGGGACTCTCTTTCCAGTTTTCCACTTTGCACAGTAAAGCTGGGTCCTTTCTGACATGGGAAATGTTGGGGGGGACGAGATGGTGGTGGACAGCTTGGAGTGGCCCACGGGAATCTGTAAACTGGGTCCATAGGTCCCGTTCCCCAGCTCGGTCCCTGAACTGCACAGAGTGAAAAGTCCAGCAGACTGGGGCTGGAGCTTGAGGCCAGACGAGGGGAACTTTTCTCATGCATGGGGATCCATGGGCTTCTTTGATCTTGGTCTGGACTCACAGCCCAGGCTAGAGTCAAGGTGGCACTTGCCGTTTCATAGAAACGTAGGTAGCCTTCCAGTGCGGCTGTCATGTTTTGGCAAATCATTGTTGAGTGCATTAATATCTCCAGTAGACTAAACTTTGTTGCAGACCTCGGTCCTCAGGGTCTGGTTGTGGCTGAGCGTCTCGCTCCTGAGGACTCCTGCTTATAGTTCAGAGAATAAAGTTTCAGCTGCTAACACTGATGGTTTCTATTTCAGGAAGACAATTCACGAATGTCTTTTAAGAAAAGTGTTCCCTTAAGACACAACACGAAGAAAAAAGGTATGTCATGTAGATGGTGAAGAAATAGAAATGTGTATATTCTGTAATAATTCAGCCATGGGTGTGGATACTGGTATGATCCTATTATATAAACAGCAAGTCATTCTTGTCTCTGGAAATATAGTTAAAATATGCAGAGGACATTCAGTAGACAAAAGGTCTTACTTCTTGCTCACCATACCTTTCTGGCCCCCCACCCCAACCCCGTAACAGTAACATCACCAAATTAGAAATTCTTTCCTAAATTGTTTTCCTAACTGTTTACTTATAGTCATAACTTTTTAGATTTGTAGTTCTATTTATTTAAAAAATTTTTTAAAGATTTTATTTATTTGACACCGAGAGAGAGAGCAAGCATGAGGGAGCTGCAGAGGGAGAGGGAGAAGCAGACTCCCCGCTGAGCAGGGAGCCTGATGCAAGACTTGATCCCAGGACCCTGGGACCATGACCTGAGCCAAAAGCACCCCTAGATTTGTCGTTTTAAAAGAAGTTTGATGTATATGCCTTTCTGGTGTAACATATTGGCCATGAAGAGTAGGAACTGACATTTTACAGTATTAAATGACATAAAGCTTGGGAAACGCTTTGCAAATTGTAAAAATCCTATGGACGTAGGAACTGTCTTTTCATTATGTAAGTTGGATATTTTACAGATGAGGGGGCTGAGGCACAGAGTGGGTAGGTATCCTTTCCAAGGTCACATGTTATTTCCCATTTCTGAATTCTCCTGTTGCAGCAGAACTTGGATGGCGTGTCTTCTGGGGTCTGAAGTTCTCGTGTCCATGGGTAGGGGCAGAGGACCCTGAGGTTCATGCCGTAGCCTTGAATCATGGCTTGGATCTTTATCAGTAACTACTGTGCTCTTTGGTTGTGATTTAATCCCCAAAACAGAACACCTGCAGCCCCTTTCCCTTGAAAGGGTGGTGATTACAGTTCCGTGAGATAATAGTGTCTTCTGAGATTATCTCATAGCAGGGATTACCTAGCTCTGTTTGTTGCCTCCGCTTCTTCTGTGGACCTGAGTGTGAGGACCTGGGCATTGTTCCCCTTGAAGAAAGACAGAGGGGTGTCTACACAGGAGAGGCTGAAGGGAGCTCTGCTGGCTCGTAGGGAGGAGATGCGCCCAAACTCCCTAGTCCTGTGGGTGGACTGTCACCTCTCATGTCTCACCAGCTAATGTCTCTTAGCATTGTTCACGGCTAAAACTAGCTGTCCAAAGAGCCTTGAGGGTTCTATGTGAAGGAGAAGAGCACTGGGTTCTTGTTGGGTAGAGCCGCCAAGGAGCAGAGGGGGGATGGCGTCTGGGGACCAGAGAGGCTGGGCTACAGGAGGGGCAGTGGTTTTCAGGCTCCCAGACAGTAGTGAGGTTCTTTGTGCCAGCCGACCTTTTATATTATTTCCCGTCTGTGGACTGGGAGTGGGGGACACAGGCTGACTGAGGACCCATCCTACCTTATTATGTTTGGGGCTTCAATTTTAAATTTTCATTATAATTGTTTATATCTCCACAATCAAAATCTTTGAACAATTTCTTTTTTTTTTAAGATTTTAATTATTTATTTGAGAGACAGAGAGAGAGTGAGCATGAGCGGGGGGCGTGGCAGAGGCAGAGGGAAAAGCAGGCTCCCCGATGAACAGGGAGCCTGATGCAGGGCTTGATCCCAGGACCCTGAGATCATGACCTGAGCTAAAGGCAGACACTTAACTAGCTGAGCCACCTGGGCATCCTTCAACAACAATTCCTATTGGATGTTGGGGAAATAGAATCTCCAGTGAATGTTGGGGAATGCCTACCCCTTGATTTTCGACTCTTCTTGGTAACTTAAGAGGAAAATCATCATTCAGTATGATAAATGCCAACAAGATGATCAGAGAATTGTTTTGTTTTGTTTTGAAGAAAGGAGGTGGTTTATAAAGTGCATCCCTTGAATGGTACAACTGGAAGGTGGGTTTTGCCTGGCTCGGGGTGCACATGAGGGCCCCCGATCGCCACCTCGTGGCCAAAGGAAACTGGCTGGGCACCACGGGTAAGTCGGCCGGAGTGTCCATTCAGTTGTAGAGTATGGGTCTGAACGGCAGCGTCTCTGTTTGTTATTTGATTTTTAACTGAAGGATGCTCTTCAGGTGACAATTCACGCCAGAGAAATCTCAGTGGGCAACACCTAACCTGTCTCCCCCTCCCAGTCCCTCCTGTGCTCTTCTCTGCACTCAAGGTCTGGAGTACTTTAAAAAATCCCATTAAATGCTATAGGCTTTTATGGAGCCTTAAGTATAGGAGACATATACTGAACCATCTGGTTTAACAGCACTTTAAAAATACACATGGATTCCAGAACACCTCCATAGATATTTCCTTTCGATTTTTATTTTCATTTCAACAGCCTCGCTAGGTGACACTCCTCATTTTCCCGAGGGGAACAGAATGACAACCTGCCTTGTCCTCGGTGACACAGGTGACAGAAGAAACAGCAGAAATTCAAGCAAATCCATCTCTCTCCCCCCCATTGTTGGTGAGGTGCAGTGCTGGCCGCAGGGCCGGCCTGGTGCCTCCCACGGGCCTGGTCCTGCACACACTGGCCTGCCAGAGGGTTCGCCTCTCACGCCAGCACGGAGTCGCCTTGAAGAGGTGGCTGCGAGTGATTTTATGACCACTCCGGTTGGTTTCCAGGTGGCCAAGTTATCTCTGGGCTCTGCTCCATGGATCTGTGCTTCAGTGACAGGCTTCAAGGTCTCCGGGCACTTTTTCACTCAAGTACGGGCCACAGGGCTGTTGGAATTAATCAGCCAATCTGAGGCCACCAGAGATTGTGGCCCGATGCAAAGACTGATTTGGGAGAAGGGAATGAGCTCATTTCATACCTCACTTAAAAAATGTCACCTTTCCTACCGAATGCTCGTGGCTGTTAGTGGCCATCTGTTCTGTCGACCTCCACAGAAGCAGGGGCTCGAGCCCCCCGAGTTCTGGCCAATTGGAACTCGTGTTTCCAGAACAGTGCTGTGCCTTCTTACATTTTGTTCGCATTTGCAAAATTCGTTTTTCTGGGGCCATGAGGCCATTTTAAGTCCCTGAGGTTTAATCCAAGGCAGTAGTAAGTTTGTTTGTTTTATGTTACGGGCAATAATTTTTGGCCATGTCCCACTGCTGTTATTTTTGCTTGTTTTTGAGAATTGGGAAGTAGAGGGATATTTGGAGTGAAGGAACAAAAGAAGCAGAAGGAAAGACCAGTATTTTTTCCTCTGTGATTTTCAACTTTTTATTTTGCTTCCGAGGGTTCCCAGTTCCACGGGCAAAGCCAGGGAACAAGCACGATGCTGCCCAGCACCCAGGTGCCTGGCTCAGAAACCTCCCTGAGCAGCCTCTGCACAACGGGTCCTCACCTGTCGCTCCTCCGTGTGCTGAAGGCTCGGCAGCCCCCAGGCGGAGCGTGGCCAGGCCAGACTCTCAGGCTCTTTGGAGTCTTCATTAGATGTCTTTTGTTTTCCTTCCTATGATTTTAGTAAATCTGGAAACTTAGGAATCATTTAAAATAAAATTGTAACTTACTGATTGTCATTCAAAGAGCTACTAATGGTTGGTGAGACTTTGGGTCCAGCAGGCAGGGTGGGCCTCATAAAGAGCAGAGAGCACGTACCCAGTGACTGGCTTGCTTTTTTGATCAACACCTTTTTAGGTCAAAAGCACCTCATGATTTTGTGTGCTTTTCTTAAGCGTGGTCTGTTTTCACCACGTCTTTTGACTCGTGGTAACAGCCTGCTTTGGCCAAATTAATTAAGATTGTTTATTTTTTTAACTCTCATTTCCTATATTTGGGTAAAGCGAGGGGACTTCCTTGCCCGAACCAGGCTTCTGCTCATCCCCTGCTGTTTTTATGAATCTCATCAGAGTGACCCCGAGCAGATTGGTGATTGGGTTTCAGGGCTGTCAGCCCTCACGGCCCCTTCCCTGTCTCCTGGCCCCCCAGTGGGTCCTTCCCTGCTTTTCTCTCTTCCTATCGGGTGGCCAGTAGATAAGGCCTCTGCTCTGGGGAACTGTTACCAGTTATTTACACTGTAGTGTGAAGCTAAGTTGGTGTCCCAACTTCCCTTGTACATGGAAGCCACCTTTGCTTTGAAGAACCTGACTACTGGTTAAGTAGGTGTGGGAAGGAAGTAGTTGAGCTCTAAGGTGTGTGAGGCCAGCCCTGGTCAGTAGGGGAGGGTGTTAACCAAGCAGAAAATGACTACACTGAATGCACATCTTATTTGACCCAGGATAAGGAACACTGAGAGAAAAGCAGATGGTTACCATTGGCTTGGTGTCTGGCCCTGGTTTGCGTTTCCCCATGTACCCATCAACGTGTCTGAGTGCTTCTGTGTGATCTTCGGTCTTTGGTAGGCAGTAACTTAGCCAGTGCGCATTTCTCTCCATTCTGTACATTATAAGTGCTGTTATTTGAGAGGTTTTATTTTCTTTGGCAAATTCATTTAGTGATATTCTGTGATCTTTTATGTAGGTATAAAATGGTGCTTAGACTAAACCTGGTGCAGAGGAGAGTGAGCGCTGAGCATCCAGAAGTAGTCCTGGAGCCTGCTGTCTCCTGACTGTGTCAGCTCAGACCGGTCCCGGGGCCCCAGTGCTCGCGGGTAAGAGGGGGCCATGGCATCAGACACTCCCTTCTGGTTCCAGTTGGGCTGGATTTGTGCAGTCTGAGTGTGGTTTAGCTGCTCCTATCCACTCTTCTCAGCTGATGAGCATGTGAGGAGCTGCCCCATCCCTCGTGATGCTGCCCACCCGAGGGCCTGACTTTAGTTCACTGGGGGTTGTTTGAGTTTTGAATCTAATCTTTGCCTTTAGACAGAACCTGAGCCAAGTAATTCTAGAGAAAAGTGTTCACTATACTTTTCTCCTTAGATACTTTACTTACTCCTAAACCTAAGTCATTTCTGAGAACCTAAGATCTCTGTCTTTCTTGGGCTAGCCAGACTAATTCAGTTCCAGTATAGTAATTGATCTACAGTCATTCTTGGGAGATCCTGTGGGTTTGGTTCCAGAGCGCCACAACAGAGCAAATATTCCAGTAAAGCGAATATTGCAGTAAAGCAAAGTCAGATGAAGGTTTTGGTTTTCTACTGTACAGGAAAGTTACATTTATACCATATTGTAGTCTGTTAAGTGTGCAATAGCATTATGTTTAAAAATCAGTGTACAAGCCACCAAGACACCGCTTTGCTGCCTCCCAGGTCAGAGTGCCCTCCAGATAGCAATGGCAATGGGAGGCAACAGAGACCCACAAAACACCAGGTCTGTTTATGACTGCTTAGCCATATCAGCAGGAGAAACAAAAGCTTCCTAAATAAGCAAGAGTTCTGGATCCTGCAGACTCAGTAAAATCTCTTTTACTTAAAAAGCAAGTCTTTCCTGGGGGGCGGAGCAAGATGGCGGAGGAGTAGGAGACCT